CCATGACCACCAAGGTGCCTGCTGTGCTGAGCAGGGCCCTCAGTCAAGTGAGGCCATAGTGCAACAAAGAATGAACAGTTCTTGGGATGTAGAGGAGCAGCAGACAAGATGGATCATGACTGCACAGCCTTGGAGTTAACATCACCTACCAGGAAAAAAAATCCTGGGCTCCTGCCATGGGACAAGCACCTTTCCTTTTAGTGGTATTTGCTGTTTCAAAAATCATTGAGCAGATGAGGCACACTGGATCATAAGCAAATACTTCAGTGCAGTTTCAATTCAGGCACCTAATCACTGGGGTGAGTAGAGTTTTACATGCATTTTTGTGCTTAGCATTCTTCTTTCATAAATTTAAGGTGGTTCTTGGTTAATATTCTCACACTGGGCAGGGAAAGTGGCATGGCAAGGAAGATGACATCTCTGAGGTGCCAAGTGCTTTCTTGGGTATCTAAACCTGGATTTTGGGTTCTTGCTTATATAAAAGTGACTTACAATTTAATAATTTAGTTTATCTGCCTCTCAAACTGTCAATGAATTTCACAGATTTGAAAAGATTAACCATCATGTTGCTGCTTTTTTAAGCAGTACCTGTAAAGTAAGGTATTTCTGCCCCTAACAAGCAGCCAAGTGCTGATTACAGTTTGCATGACTGCTCTTCAGCCCCACTGACAGGCTTCGAATTATTACAAGGTTCACTACAGTAGCTCATAGGATTTTATTTAAGTTACACAGGTAGCAGTGAATGGATGGGGAGCAACTATGTCAGCTGCAAAAGGACAACTGCCCATATGTCTTTTCACACTTCAACACTATAGTAATTTCAAGACAATTTTGTCAACTCCACTGGCTATGGTTTTAAAATAGTGTACGAACCTATTTTGCACCCACCCAATTGGGAGTGAGAAAATAGTACCAAGATTTTAAAGGGAAGAGAAACAGAGCATGCAAAAGTTCCATTAAAAGGAAGAAGGTACAAATGCAACCATATGGAAGAACATTTAAGCCACATAACGGTACCCTCATTACAGCAGAATGAATCAACCTATTTAGGAGAGCATAAAACCTGGGAAATACCTTGGATGAACAGATTTCATGAGGGATATCACCATGACACATATGCATTTTTGAATCGATTGCTGTCCAGCACATAATTAAATACAACTATTCAGCTTAATAAGAACTGGCAGTTCCTGAAAAGCACAACGATCCACTTAACATATTTAAACCAATTTAAGCTATTTAGTTATAGCTTTGAGACTCTACTTCCCCTCAACGTAATGAGAGGAATTTTCTTGAAAATCTGTACCACTCTGTCCAACTGGGCAGTGTTTCTAACTTTAAAGTTCATTCATTTGCACAAGTTATAAAATTTCGTATGTGGCAGATCAAAATAAATGAGATCTGGAAAAAAAATTACAAATTGCCATTGTTCAGTTCCCCCAGCAGACAGTAACGCATGAACTAGTGCTGTATTGTGCTACCAACCCAGCTGAAAAATTACTCTGAACTATATTTGTAACTTCCTGGAATTTTTAGTAGGTTCCTTTAAAAAAGTCGTAAGTAAGCGGATGGCTAAGATGTTTGGGACAGCACCTTCAATTTGCGGTCTGCCAACCCTTTGTGATTTGGAGAAGCTAATTAACAAAGAAACATATTTAAAGTAAAGTTGAAATTTACTCTTTGGTCAAGAGACACTTCAGCTGGAAAGCGTTTTGGAGTTTGAAACTAAAAAAAAAAGATTGAAAAATACTTAGATGGACATGCTGGTACCAGCCTTTCAGTGGTGAAATCCCAGCTTCTGTATATAGTCTGTTTGTCAGACACTGCATTTGTGTATCAGTAGTGGATACAGGTGTCTCTTCACTAAAACCAGATGCTGTTCATGAGATTATAATGACATTATATTAAAATGTTCAGGACAGTTCTCTGAATTTCTATTCCTGGGTTCAGCTCCAGCAGTCATTTTTTCTCCTCCTTAGTAGCTGGTGCAGGGCTGTGGTTTTGACTTTCAGCCTGGGAACAACGCTGATAACACCGATGGGTTTAGTTGTTGCTCAGTAATGTTTACTCTGAGCAAGGACTTTCTCAGTCTCATGCTCTGCCAGGAAGGAGGGGAAGCCGGGAGGAAGCAGAGACAGGACCCCTGACCCAAACTGCCCAAAGGGCTATTCCACACCACAGCACGTCATGGCCAGGATAGAAACTGGGGGGAGTCACCCGGAAGGCCCAGATCGCTGCTCGGGTCGGGCTGGGTATCGGTCAGCGGGTGGTGAGCGGTTGTGTCCTCTCCCCTTGTTATTTCCCTTATCATTATTATTGGTAGCAGCAGTGGTTTGTATTATACCTTAGTTACTGGAGAGCTGTTATCTCAACCCGTGGGAGTTACATTCCTTCGATTCTCCTCCCCATCCCTCCGGGAGCGGGGGGAGGAAGGAAGAGGGGGGGAGTGAGCGAGCGGCTGCGTGGTTCTGAGTTACCAGCTGGGCTTGAACCACGACATTTGTGGACTGGAAGAAACAATTCTAACCATTGTGTGTATCTCATACATTTCAATTAATCAAACCAAGTACACAGCTATGAAAGATCTACTACCTCATGAAAGGATACAAATATCAGCCCTTTTTTGATAGGATAGTAACAATGATTATAGTGATGGCAACGACTAATTATTAAATTATGAGCATGGCACAGTTTTCTATAGAAAATTATTTTACCAAGCAATCAAAAGCATTATTAGAAAAAAGTAAAATACTTTGTCTACTATTCTTTATGTTTATGTTCAAATAATAACTGCCTGTTACACAAAATTTTCTCTAAAAATACTTAATTTAGCCTCAATTCCTCTTGCCTTCAGATTTTTAATTGCAACATCTGTATATTCTGTTTCCAGAGTAACCTCAAATAAATAATAAAACTTGTATACCCTATAAAAAAAATGTTTATTTCCTACAGTCACATGCCTTCTGCTCTCCCCAGGTGCATAGAAATTCTTTTTGCTCTCTTTTTCAGTGTTCCAACATTTCCTTTGGGCATGACAGGATTTATATTCCGTGATCCCCCTTACCTAGTGTGAAAATCTGTCAATTACCCTCTCTGTCTTAATATACTGCAAAACCAGTGCACAGCGGATAAAGCTGGAAAGGCAAACCAGGAAACACCCCTAAATACCAAATAAACCAGCCAAGCTTATAGTTCAAAAAATCCTGAGAAGAGAGAGCATATCAAAACATTACAGACCAAGAACAAAGAGGGGTTTCAGGTGCGTCTATCAAAAGCTGTTAAGACGAAAAAGGGTCACACAGAGAATATTTTAATCATTTTAGGTGATCTTTGAAGATTACAATCTAACTAAATCCAATTATCCTACTGAAGAAAAAATATTTAAACTTAACGCTTGAACAGTACTTCAGATACAGAATATTCTAGAAACAAAACAACTGTGAAGAGCTTTTAGCACCTCTCATGAATGAGGAAATAAGATTTGCAAGGTTTAATACTGAATGACTTGAAGATTCCTATGTAGAAAGCTCGGAATTGCAGAGATTATGGCCTGAGGCTGTAAAAAAGCAGACAATACCTGTCATATGTTTAGCTCTCATTTGGCATGCTGTGCATGCAGCAATAGCATGGTCATTTCTTATAAACTCCCAACTGCTACAAACAACCTCTAACTTCTCAAAATATTCAATGTGCTCACTCCCTCTTTATTAATTGTGACATTTTCCAAGAAAAAAGATTTTTAAAACTGGGAACATAGACAATCCAGACAATTTTAAAAATAATAGTAAGATATTTCAGCTGCTACATGTTGGGGTCTTAATGGATTTTACCGTGCTACAACCTCAAGAGCTTGCCAAGTTCTTGTACTGTTTGCTACTGCTGGAAAATAAAGCAGGAACTTGGGTTTAGAACCCTTATTTCAGGTCATAACACAGTACATTATATTATGCTATGACACATAGCACAATAATTCTGATAGACGCCATTGGATCCACACTTCTCAATTATATGAAAGAACTGAATGAAAAGAAGTTTGAAATCTCCTAATGCATTTCAGGCTCTTCTGCTTCCAGTTAACCTCTGGTATTCTACAACACTTTATAAAACTGGTTTTTTATTTCACTTGGCTGAGAGGGATGAGCACAGGAACAAAGTAAAGCACGAACACAGCTTCTTCAAAATAAACAGAAAAAGTCTTTCCCCTTATCTAGTTTCTCTCTGCTGTCGCAGAGGTTGCTGTGACATCAATCATCCAAGTAATACCCCAGACAAGTATGATTATGCTTTCATGGTTCAGCATTTGTTATGCGTATATACCAATACTTGATCTTTCACCACTGCTCCCCTTACAAAGTCTACGTATGAATACACAGAAAGCCAGAAAGCAATGATCCCTTGTCAACAGCGAAAATTACCTTCCACTCCACCAGAATAAATAGTTTCTCTGAGAGATCTGGGAAAAAGAAGTTTTCCAGCTTACTCTGGCCAACGCACATCAAACAAGGCGACCAATCTGGTGCTTTGGTTGATTCAGTAACCCCACTGAGACTGCCAAGAGGAGTGTCAATTGGCACCAGCTTTAATGAGGACATTGTTTCAGACCTGGTTTGATGTCACTGCCTCACTTCACCTTGGTCTCTCAGCTGGTGTCAGATAGCTGGGACAATCCCTCATGGCTACACTGCGCCAGGCACAGCCGGAAGAACACCACAAGGTGTTCCAGCCATAAATCCCGGAACTTTCAGCGTCCTAACTGGAAACTGTTGTGCTTATTACTCTGTAACACCCATCATCATACTCGGCCTCCAAGAAACTTTAGGATGGTTCAAAACAGTTTGCTCATTATTTTAATGTTCATTTTTATATAAAGCATGCATTCCACTATTTCATCCACAAGCACAATTTCA